GGCCAGGCATTTCAAATATGTGGGGTTGCCAACTCGCCTGGCGTTAAAATATCTGAAATAACACGTTCATGTACATTATCATAATTTGGGTGCATGGTTCTACAATTGTTTCTTCAAGCATATTAGTAGGCATAAAAATACACAGTGTAAGCACATGCCACTGGGGTGTCAGCATAAGATGAATAAAAGGTAAACGCTTTTGTGTGGCAAAACAAACAACAGCAATTGAAGCGACATAGCTTGGAAACATAAAGATGACAATTCATGCCAAAAGCAACCGACTCATTGTGTTGATAAAAGCAGCTCCAAACAATTAGTAGCGGCATTTCGACTTGAGTTCTGCCTTTCAAGAATTTTAAACGTAGGCTATAAAACATGTTTCCCAAAAGTTCTGACAACCGTATCTAAAAACTACTTTTGAACCTGTATGAGTACAATGCAGCATGGCTCAAAACTGATGAGAAAAAATAAAACTGAAGGGGAATGACATCCAGCCGTTAACAATTAACCTTCGACAGCTTCTAGGGATAACTCATAACCTCTCGAGAAACGCTGAGTTGGCAATTCTTTGACCTCGGATCCTATTCTGAGCACGTTTATACTTGAGAGAATAGCTCGGAAATAATAAGCAAGCTATTTACCGCTCAACAAAAGCAAAACTATGAATGTAAATAGAAACATACAATCATCATTGAGCTATCGTGGAAAGAAATTCCTTCTTAAATGGTTTTCTGGTGGTACAAAAAGAGTCTTCCACATTTTCCTTATTTTGCACATTGCGCTTTCGAGGAGAACAAACTGTAAACGGGCCAAGATCAAATGGTTTGAAAATCGTTTCCGTTTCATTTGAAGCCCTTTTTAGAATACGGACAACGTCATGTTTAAGGAACATATTGTATTTGTTTCCGGTAAAGACGATTAAGGGTCGATATGAACATCACAAATGTCGCTAGATATACAATTCAAACTTTTTAGACGACTGTCTATTGCCGAAGAGGAACGCTTCATCTTTGACAGGTTGGAAGGTTCCATCATAATACAGAAAAAATGCAAGTGGAAGGGGGGGGGGGGCGTTTGAACAAACGATTGTCTTGGGCCTGCTATCGTTAGAGCAGATTGTATTTAATTTAGATCCCTTTTAAATCGAATCAGAACCATCCATGCTCGTGTCTACTTTGAAACTAATGGTGATTCTGTGGCTGGTGACAATTGACATGAGGTCTGATTATGAAGCGGTGGATCCGAGTGAGGCAAAAGTGTCAACGACAGTAAACCAAGGGTTAACTTGGAGGAAGACGAATCATTTTGTCCCTCCAATCCTTCGGACGACATTACATCAGCTTCTAAATACGTGTAAATGAGATCTCGAAACCGGATGAGATTGTAATCTACGCATTTTGTGCCAGTTTCAAAGAGGGAAACAAAGGTACAAAAACGTAAACCTAATTTACAAAAGAGCAATGGTAAGAAGATATGTGCGTCTTCAGAGCAAAATCTTTACAGACTCGCAAGAATCAAAGCAACGCTTTTTTCCATTCTCACTGGCAATGTTATGAAACCCACGAGAAAGAATAAATCACTATCTTACAAAGAAAAAAAATACGTAGTGCGTGCGTTAGAAAAATAAGGCCATGGCAACGTGAAGCGTGTATGAATAAAATGAATGCTGTAGACTGTATCGGTTGTGACACTTGAATCCTTAGAGCGCAAGACTTGGACTTAATTGAGATCAGGGAGCTGCATCCTTTACAGCATTCAGACAAAGCACAAAGATGTTCCTCGCCTTGCTCTTTTAACATTGAGTACCTTTGTACGTTCCTGTCTTTAAAAGACCTACTGTATATCTGAGCCTAGCTTCTGAAAGTATGTTATACGTAACAGTATATTATTATTTGGAACTAAATTGAAGTAATTCATGAAAAAAGCCTTTTTTGCGCCGTTTTCGTTGTGTAACAGCAGTGACTTTTCTACACAGGTGCATTTGAAAGCCGTGAGTTTATAACAGCGATGTGTTCCTAAAATACTCATGCAGACGCTTACGTGCTTTAATTTTGCCAACCAGCTGCTCCCTAACAGACATCAAATCATCCATAGTGTCCACTGAGAACACGTTACTGGGGTCAGAGGCTGCAGTCTGCAGCTCCGACATGTCCTTCATGCCCACACCAATGGTGTAAACTTTCGTGTTCTTTTTCTTGACGGCTTGGCTGGATTTCTTGAGTTTTTTGGCGTCCGCGTTGGAAGCCTCGTCAGTTATAATGATCAGCGCGTTTGGGACCTCCTGACGATCTCCCATTTTTGGATTAAGCATTTTTGATCTGATCAGAAAGAGTCCTTTAGACAAGCTGGTTTTCTTAGAGCGAAGGAACTTGGCACTGTCAATTCCCTTGATTACGTCATTGATATTTGAGTGGGATTTTAGGTCGAAATACTTCGTTCCTCTCTTCCTATAGTTGGCGAACCCAATTCGGACAGCACCCGAGTCGACGTCCGCCCCTCTTGCGAGTAATTTTACGAAGTCCTTTAGCACACCGAAGTCAAACTTTGAGACTTTCTTTGAGGTGTGTACCATAAATATGAGATCCAGTTGTGGACGGGCTGAAATATACGATATGAGTTTTGCAATGGACGACAACACACACGACAGATCGAAGCATATTATTATTTACAATATCAGCATTTGAGTTGAAGCCAGATCGCTTGAGTAGGTTATTACACATTTTGTAGCTAAAATAGACACGCACACACACAGAGTAAATAAGCACTTATTTGTCCAGCAAATGTACATGCCGGTTTGATCCAAAGTATTAAAAGGCAATAATTCTTTTAGCAAATACGACCATATTCAAGGAAGGTTATAAACGACACACATAAAATTGTCAAGACACAGACTTCTCGACAAGAATTCCTCGTCTCGAAAAAACATCATGCACTCACTTTGGTATTTTAGTTTGGTTACATACAGTAAAACTGGGATGTGAGATACGCAATGCGTCACGACACAAAAGGAGATAAAGAGATCAGTCATCCTTGCATATATCTGTAGTGTTAGTATATTGTGTTATTTAGCTGAAACCATCAAGGTGTTAAAAAGAAATGTATAGCATGTGCCTGTGTGTGTTTTTCTTTAGTTTTAGTAAGAGTTTTACAACACTTCAACACAACTGAATGTGTGTGTGTGTGAGTGTGTGTGTGT